CCTGTCGGCGCCGACAGGTTGGTCAGTTTGTTTTTTCCTTTCCTCGCCTTTAATCATCTGTTTTCCAGCTGCAGCTGCCTCTGAGGCCAGCTGTTGCCGGGCAGAAAGCGGGTTGATTCTAAGGGCCATCCTGATTGGTCGGCCCGTTTCTGAAAGTTTTGGTGAGATTCCAGATGTTCTCCTGGCTGTGCAGGGAAATAACTGGGCGCATCATCAGAAATGGAAAACAGATTCTTTCTGCTTGTTGTTTTAATTCACGTTAGCAGTCCGGGCAGAGCGAGCTGGTGGGTCCTGCCCGGCTCTAGGAGCCCAGCGTGTTGACCCGGGACATCCTCTGCTTCAGGCTGTGCAGCAGGTGTTTGGGCAGGCAGTCCCAGTGAGAGGACAGCTTCTCCCGGTGCTGCAGAATCGCCTCCATGCAGAACCTGAGGAGCACAGGCTCATTAGTGGCTAAAACAAACCCACTTCCTGCTGCTTCAAAGCTGCAACTTTTATAAAAATTATTTTTACAAATTAGTTGAAACTGTTAAAGTATAGAATGAGACAGAAAAAAATTTATCTCCTAGACTAGAAACAACCAATCAGAGCCAGGAGGCGGGTCTTAGTGCTGTCAATCACAACGCCTGTTAGGAAAGTTGATGCTAGTTAGCATGGCCACTGATAGCGGTTTTCCTGCAAGGATGAGTTGACTCTCTGCCATTAACACATTTCACAGCATGTTTATGAGTTGATTGACAGCGCTTACACCCGCCTGCTGGCTCTGATTGGTTGTTTTAAAAAAAAATTTGATTTCATAATTTAATGCCTTGAAATTGGGCCTCTGTCTCTTTAAAAACTCCTGCTCTTTCAGAACGTCATCACCTAAATGTTTTTTCCAGTGTTGCTCTGAGAAGTGGCTCCTTTAAGCAGCTCAGCTGTTCCACCAGGTGTTTGCTAATTGCTACTGGCTAGTCTGAAGGAGCAGAGTGGGGGAGGGCTGCTCTGACAGGCAGAAGCTCAGAAGCAGCAGCTCATAGGAGGAGCTGTGTCTGGAAGGCGGGGCTAGGTACCACCAGGTATTTTGAACAGCTGAATGGTTGCCATGGTGATTAAATGATTTCTCAAACATGCATGAAAGAATCAAGGCAAAAGTCCTGGAATGTTTCTGATGAGGGAATAAAGTTAAAACGTGATCAAAAGTTCAAATAAGTTGATTTCACATCATCATCCCTTTAACAAAAATGTGAAAACCATATTTTAATAAAAGTTACTTCCTGAAGCTTTAAGCACTCACCCGACTAACGATTTGGGCTGGATGTTAAAAATTAGCAGCTCGTTGCTGTGAGCCTGTCGGAGGAGGAAAACAGGATGAGAGGCAGTCTGAAACAGGAAGTGGTCATAACCTGGAGGTTTTTCAGCTTACAGCTCTCTCATGAGACAGCAGGTTGTTGGCGCAGCCTCCAAACACGAACACCTCGCCGTCCGGCCCAGAACATGCCGTGTGCCACAGCCTGCAGCGCAGAGAGAGAGAGCGGCGTTCAGTAGTGCGGCGATGGGCACAGTGGCATTCGGCAGGACAGGATACTTACCTGGGGCTCTTTGTGTAGCTGTGCTTGAACGGCCTCCACTCGTTCCTGCTGATGCAGTAAAGCCACGCGTCACCTGGAGGAGAGGTACAGCGATTCAGAACAACTTCCTGTTCAAACGATCGCTCAGCCTGGGAACCCAAACACAAAACTCACTGAGCGTTTCCCTCTGTGTGGTGAAACCTCCAAACAGGAAGATGTGATCTGGTGAAACCGGAGTGAAGGAATGCCAGGACCGGCCCACAGGATTCTGAGGAACGCCCCTGCAGAAAAAAACAAGACGGGTCAGAATGAGTCAAAACGGGTCAGAATGGGTCAAAACGAGTCAGAATGGGTCAAAACGGGTCAGAATGGGTCAAAACGGGTCAGAATGGGTCAGAATGGGTCAAAACGGGTCAGAATGGGTCAAAACGGGTCAGAATGGGTCAGAATGGGTCAAAACGGGTCAGAATGGGTCAAAACGGGTCAGAATGAGTCAAAACGGGTCAGAATGGGTCATTTTCTCCTTTTATTACCAAGAAAAATCAAGAGAAGCTGATTAATTCAAATTTAATTTCTGCTTCAACCCGATGTCTAATCTGCATGATTTTTACAGAAATTAAACATCTTTAACTAAAATCTGAACAAGAATGAGACCCAGTGTTGAAATATTACATTTCAAACTAAAAACAAAAAATACAAATGTTGATGTTTTTTTCCTGAAGATGCTTTTTTTTTTCGACAAATAATCAAGCTGCTGTTATTGTATTTTAGGACATAAAACAATGAATCATTTATTTGTGCTAATATATATAAAAGGCGTACATGAATAATCAGCAAAAATGTGGCAACTTTTCTTATTAATAGATAAATCGATAACTAAAATAATCTCTAGTTGTGATCACAGCCCAGGTTCAGACTTACATTTCGTGCCACTCCCACGTCTCCAGGTTGATGTAGTACAAATCATTCAGTCTGTAATTCTGGAGAAAAACAATAAAAGTGTTTGGGAACAAAATATATTGAATGTTAGCATTTCTGTGACTCAACTTGACTATTTTTACATAATTAATACTAAACATTCCCTTAAACCTTCAGCTCAGACTGTTTAAAATGGTTCATCTGAAGGATTTTGACCTTAACTGTAATAAAAGTGTTGTGGATAAAGAAAGCCAGAAAGCACACAGACTGAACGGATCAGAGCAGAGCTCACCTTGAACCGCCCTCCGAACACGTAACCTCTGTTTCCTACGGTGGCACAGGCGTGAGCTGCTCTGGGGGACGGCGTGTTGCCCTGAAACACGGCGACAGGACCATCAGAACCACCCAGAACCACCCAGAACCACACACACAAAACCACCCAGAACCACTCAGAACCACCCAGAACCACCCAGAACCACACACACAAAACCACCCAGAACCACTCAGAACCACCCAGAACTACCCAGAACCACTCAGAACTACCCAGAACCACTCAGAACCAAACACACAAAACCACCCAGAACCACCCAGAACCACACACACAAAACCACCCAGAACCACTCAGAACCACCCAGAACCACACACACAAAACCACCCAGAACCACCCAGAACCACCCAGAACCACTCAGAACCACTCAGAACCACTCAGAACCAAACACTCAGAACCACCCAGAACCACTCAGAACCACACACACAAAACCACCCAGAACCACTCAGAACCACTCAGAACCACCCAGAACCAAACACACAAAACCACCCAGAACCACTCAGAACTACCCAGAACTACCCAGAACCACACACACAAAACCACCCAGAACCACCCAGAACCAAACACACAAAACCACCCAGAACCACCCAGAACCACCCAGAACCACACACACAAAACCACCCAGAACCACACACACAAAACCACCCAGAACCACACACACAAAACCACCCAGAACCACTCAGAACCACAC